TAGAGGTAAAGTGAAGTGTTTCCATTGTAGTAAGGCTGGTCATATAAAACGAAATTGTAGAATCTTGAAGCAAGAGCAAAAAGATGAGAAAGGCAAGAGTTCAGATGATGGCAATATTGCAGCAGTGAATTCAGATAGTGATTCAGTTACTTTGATTTTACACATGGTGATTGTAATCATGTTAGTGATCCGGCATTGAGTGGATAGTTGACACAGGAGCGGCATATCATTGTGTTCCTAAGAGAGAGTTGTTTACAACTTACAAAGCAGGAGACTTTGGTTGTACCAAGATGGAAAATAAGAGTGTGTCGTAGATTGTTGGGATTGGTGATATTGGTGTACAAACTAGTACAGGCTGCATGTTGACTTTAAGGGATGTCAGACACATTCCAGATATGAGAATGAACTTGCTTGCTATTAATGTCCTTGATAAGGAGGGATATGAAAGTCGACAAAAGAATGGACAGTGGAAGCTTCTCAAAGGATCTATGGTAGTTGCAAGGGGAAAACTATGCTGCACAATGTATAAGACATGGATGCAATTGAACGGTAACCAAGTAAATACCGTTGAAAATGATGCTTCAGCAAACTTGTGGCACAGGAGGCTGGCACACATGAGTGAAAAAGGGTTACAGGTTTTGGCAAGGCACTCTCTCATTCCCTTGACCAAAGGTATGTCTCTCGATTCATGTGATTATTGTTTGTTTGGTAAGCATCATAGAGTTTCTTTTCGTAAAAGTTCTCAGAGAAAAGAAAATAGATTGGAATTAATTTATTCTGACGTATGTGGTCCCATTGAGGTTGAGTCATTAGGTGGTAGCAGATATTTTGTTACTTTTATTGATGATGCTTCACGTAAGACTTGGGTGTATATGTTGAAATATAAAAGTCAGGTACTGCAGTATTTTCAAAAATTTCATGCCATGGTTGAAAGGATGACAGGGTTACCCTTGAAGTGTATTCGAACTGATAATGGTGGGGAATACACATCTAAAAGCTTTGAAGAGTATTGCTCAAAGCATGGGATCAGGCATGAGAGGACAGAACCTGGAACACCGCAGCATAATGGTATAGCTGAAAGAATGAATCGCACCATTGTGGAAAAAGTCAGATGTATGTTGAAGATGGCAAAATTACCAAAGCCATTCTGGGGTGAAGCAGTCAACACAGCTTGTTATTTACTTAACAGGTCACCATCAGTTCCTTTGAGCTTTGACATTCCAGAAAGAGTATGGACAGAGAAAGATGCTTCATACTCTCACTTGAAAATTTTTGGGTGTAAAGCATTCATGCATGTGCCGAAAGAGCAGAGATCAAAGCTTGATAGTAAAGCTACACAGTGTGTGTTTGTAGGATATGGTGATGAGGAATTTGGCTACAGGGTATGGGATCCAGTAAAGAGAAAGACAGTCAGAAGCAGAGATGTAGTCTTTCATGAAAAAGAAACCATAGCAGACTTTGAGAAAAATGAGAAGACTACACCGAGTTACTGTTGAATGTGATGTTTCAACACCGACAGGAATTTCACAAGAAACAGCCATAGTTGGTGATGAGCCAGATGCTATTAGTTTTGAGCAGGGGAAGCAATCCTCTCTACCTGAGAGTGTTGAGCAGGGAGAGCTACCTTCAGCATCAAGTGATGTAGAGTCTCAGCTCAGGAGATCTACTAGAGAGCGCAGGCCATCTACCAGGTATCCAAGTTCAGATTTTATTTTAGTTACCAGTGAAGGGGAGCCAGAAAGCTTTCAAGATGTGCAGGCTACTCCGGATAGAGAGCACTGGTTAAAAGCAATGAAAGAAGAGATGGAGTCATTGCGAAAGAATGGTACTTATGATCTTGTTAACTTCCAAACAGGGAAGAGGCCATTAAAGAATAAATGGGTGTTCAAGTTGAAAAAGGATGGGTGACAACCTAGTGAGGTACAAAGCTCGATTGGTAGTAAAAGGTTTTTCTCAGAAACCAGAACATCGATTTTGATGAGATTTTTGCTCCAGTTGTAAAAATGAGTTCTATTCGAGTGGTACTGGGATTGGCAGCTAGTTTGAATCTTGAGCTTGAGCAACTTGATGTTAAAACTGCATTTTTGCATGGTGATTTGCAGGAGGACATTTATATGAATCAGCCTGAGGGTTTTGAAGTGAAAGGGAAAGAGCACTTAGTTTGCAAATTGAAGAAAAGCTTGTATGGCTTGAAACAAGCTCCGCGACAGTGGTACAAGAAGTTTGATTCTTTATGGTGAGTCAATAGCTATAAAAGAACAGCAGCAGATTCTTGTGTGTATATTAAACAATTCCCTAATGGTAACTTCATTATCCTATTATTATATGTTGATGATATGTTGATTGTAGGACAAGATGCTAGTATGGTTTGCAGGTTGAAAGAACAATTGTCTAAGTCTTTGATATGAAAGATTTAGGTCCAGCAAAGCAGATTCTTGGTATGGACATTATCCGAGATAGGAGAGCTGGAAAGCTGTGGTTGTCACAGGAAAAGTATGTTGAACGAGTGCTTGGTAGATTCAACATGCACATGCTAAATCAGTTAGCAGTTCACTTGCCAACCATTTTCATCTAAGTAAAAAATCTTATCCAGTGTCTAAGGAAGAGCAACTAGCTATGTCTAGTATTTCTTATTCTTCTGCAGTCGGTTCTTTAATGTATCTTATGGTTTGTACAAGGCCTGACATTGCTCATTGCAGTTGGTGTAGTGAGCAGATTTCTTTCTAATCCAGGAAAGGTTCATTGGGAAGCAGTGAAATGGATTTTTAGATATTTGAGGGGTACCTCAAAAATGTGCTTGACTTATGGAGTTTCACAACCAGTTCTAGAAGGGTTTACTGATGCTGACATGGCAGGCGATCTTGATGGTAGGAAATCTACTTCAGGGTATTTGTTCACTTTTGCAGGAGGAGCTGTATCTTGGTAGTCTAAGTTGCAAAAAGTGTGTTGCTTTGTCAATTACAGAGGCTGAGTATATTGCAGCAATCGAAGCATGTAAAGAAATACTTTGGATGAAATGTTTTCTTCTTGAATTAGGGTTGAATCAGAAAGAGTATGTGGTATTTTGTGATAGCCAGAGTGCTTTAGATTTGAGTAAGAATACCATGTACCATGCTAGAACAAAGCACATTGATGTTAGATATCATTGGTTACGTTCAGTGATTGAAGAACAGCAGATGCTATTGAAGAAAGTCCATACTGATAAAAATGTAGCAGATATGTTGACTAAGATACTTCCCAGGGAAAAGCTTGAGCTTTGCAGTAACTTGGTCGGAATGAGTTCCCTGGTCAAGGTAAGTTTCAAAATGAAATTGCTATGGTGATGAATCCTCTATATATCGTAGAGAAAATGGTTCCATCCAATGCAAGTTATGTCCCCTCCTCGATACCTGGGAGGAGCTCCAGTCCGTGCTAGGCTACGAATTGGGTGCAGGAGAATGTCACGGTCTAAGGGATAGTCTGATCTCACATGAACATAATAGGTAAGTCACTGGTATAAAGGGTTAATTTCCCATCTCGCCTTGTGACTTTTGTAGGACAAACCTTAGAGCGACAATACCTCACAATGAACCGTAGCTAGACACCATGCCCGGACAGTGCACGGGTTCGAGCTTAGTCTCACCCGTTTATCACTCTCCATAAAATGCACTATTGTTGCCGAAAGGCCCAAAAGATTGGAAACAACATCGGTTTTGTCTTCTCTAATATCAGCCTCGTTTTCTATTGATTCAGGCCTGAAATAAGTAAATAAATTTGTAGTATTATACCTCCCATTCTGTGGTCCTTTAGCCCCAAAAAAGAAGGTGCATAATATTTTAAGGTCATTTGGAAATTCTCAAAATCCGGATAATTAGATGCAATTTCAATTTTAGTTTGATAACCTTTTGATTAAAGAACCGGTTATAAAACTAGAAAATGGTCCAAAATTTTGAGCTATTAAAGATCTGTAGATTTAGAATAAGGGGGAGGCACTATGTTCATCCCTTTTTTCTTTTCCACATGTAAAAGTTCACAGATGAATAATTACAACAATAGGTAGTAATTTCTTTTTTGATCTCATAAATCTCACCTTTAAACTATAAATTTAAAGTTTCAAAACTTAGTGGTTAAGAAATTTTTTTGGGAAGTTGTTGGTGCTTTATAATTTGACCAAGGCACATACAATACAGGAGAAGAAATGGGGTTTTTGGCCCTTAAGTCAAAAGAGGCTTGAAAATAAGCTTTAAACAAGATCTTCATTAACTCATATATATATATATATATATATTAAAAGTATGTATCATCTTATTAATTTTATTTGTGGAGTTTAAAAATTTTACTAACAATGGATTAAATAATTTCTTCCTATATATGGCTTATAAGCTTAGTTTTTGGAGATTATATATAATCTTTTGATCTAAACTCTAAAAGTTGTCTTTGGTAAACTAGTTTGGTGTTTTTGAATTGGAAATGTAATATCAAATACTATTTTGATTGGAACTCAAATGTATATTTGGATCTGAACAATTTTATATATCATAAAAACAGTTTGCTATCTGCCTTTGCATCTGGGTTGTGCATGTTTGTACTCTATTTTCACCCCACGAACCCTTAGATCATCTTGCAATTGGGAGTCCAAACTCTATTCCAGAAATGTAATATTATCAAACTATTACACTTAGAATCAAATTGAATGCATGAGTTTCCAAATAAAATATTAAGGCCTAGTTGGAGTGTTAATGTGGATTAATTTTGACAATGAGTTGCTGATTTGTATCTTTAATAACTCTTTAATTAAGGAATCTGATTGAATAGGTTAACAAAAGTTATTGCAGTAACACAGTTGTCTAAAGCATGGCAGCTAAAGTTGCTTGAAAAGGTTTAAAAGGTTAATTTTACTTTAATTTGTATCACAGTGGACCTGAACAAAATTAAAGAGGGAAGAAGAGGAAGCAAAACTTTTATATCCTCTATAAATAGTTAATTGAAAGGAAAACCTAGTGAGGCAGATAGAAAAAAAAATGGGTAGGGTGAAAGTGCAGCTGAAAAAAATTGAGAACAAAACTTACAGGCATATAACTTTTGCCAAAAGGAAAAGTGGGCTTGTCAAGAAAGCTTATGAACTTTCCACTCTTTGTGATGTAGAGGTTGCTCTCATTTTATTTTCTCCAGCAGGAAAACTCTTCCTTTTTGATGGAAAGAAAAGGTCTGATTTGTGTGTGTGTTTTTTTTTGTTTCATCGTCTAAGGCTAAAAATTGTTGATTGATGACTTAATCTTATGTGATCATTTTAATCATTTCTACTGTTAATTTGTTTTGGATGAATAATTTGTTGAAGTTTATTTCTGTGATCAATTGTTTTAAGTAATTTGATTTTGGATTTTGTAGGGTAGAAGATATTTTTGCTCATTATCTTGAACTCCCTGCTCGCCGACGTGGATGGTAATTTTTTTTTTTGGGTGGGGGGGGGTGGAAGATAATTAGAAAATAAGGCTAGCATTTTAAAAAATAAATACGAGACTTTTGCTATAATAATGTCAATAGATGAAGAAATTGAACGGTATACATTGTAATTATACGATACTTTTAATTATAAAATTAAAATGATATCAAGATAATATTTTACGTGACATCAATTAGAACGTGTTACATTTTATTAATGTTTGATTTAGATATGTGATGAGAGTTCTCCATCCGTGTTGAGATTTACGATTTATGATTGAATCCTCTTAAGTATCTTCTTTAAAAGTAAAATATTGAGGCTAGACTTATAATTAGCATTCTTGCTATGAAATAGTATAAAAGTATTCATAAAAGAAAATTTTATCAAAAGTAGGGAGAGGCTTAGAGATTCCAGTTTATAATATATAATGGTGATATACATTAATGTCTTAATTTACATTTTGACTAAATGCTTTTTTTTTGGTCATGAACCGTCCAATTATTACACAAATCAAGGGTGCAAAATCAAGAGGTAACCACTCTTTTAATCCAAACCATTTATTTTGATATTAATTTCATATTTTTAGTACAAGTTTATATGAGACAAATATAATTTGTTTCAGTTGATCCAGCGCATTGTTACTCAGATGATCGTTGAAGCTGATTTTTATAATCACCCCACCAGCTCTAGGTTTGCTTTCTTTCGTCAGATAATTGGTTCATCAATTGATCTATTTATATTTTAATGGTGACTGACCATATTGTTGTAATTAATTTTCTTTTACTTTCCTGATATATGTAGCACCAACAAATTGGACATTGATTCTCAATTACAGGTATGCGATCAAACAATAATATATTTAAGGCTAAAATTAATATTAATATATAAATGGAAAATTTTCATCAACTTTCATATCAATGCAGGAAATCCAGAAAGAAATACTTATGTGCAGCACTCAACTGGAGGATGTGGAGAAGCAATTGCAGTAAGGGCTATAAAATAATCTTGAATTTTCATTCTGATATCAGAAATTTTAAATCTAATTACTAATTATATAAAAAAAAATATGGATTGGTTTTTGAAGGTATTTTTTGAGAAATCCTAGTTGTGTTAAATCAATGAGCGAGGCTAGATACCATGAGATGATCCTGGAAGAGACCTTGAAACTTGTCCATTTTCGCAAGGCAAGATATATGCATGTGCATGCACCCTAATATTCAATTTCTCTTCTCCTGTCCATCGGGTTTTTCTTTACTGATCATTAAATCTTTACCTGTCCTGCTTCTGATTTTACAGCGATTTTTAGAAGCAAATTGTAGTGTTCAACCAACTTCACAGGAATTTGGAAATACCATTAGGCCTCATTTAGTTGATTCCAGGGAGGTAGGAAACTAAACATATCCCATTTCTAGTTATTCTAATTATTATAATTTCTGGTAACGTTAATGCTTGATATAGAAGAAATCATGACAATATTATCGAAATTTGCTATGTTTTACTGTATATCTCTTTTGGATTGAATCCTAATAATTAAAATTAAGAGTTTATCACTCTATCAATAGACTGTACAATCATTGGTATCTCTTGGAATTTCCATGATGTATTGCCAATAATAATTCAATTATATATCAGCCTTGGTAAAGACTTTAGAGTCTAGAGATGTCTTTTAACCATACACTTTGCTTTGCTGTGGTAACATTTAGAATCCACTTCCGGCACAAAAGGCAAGTTCCAGGGGTTCCATATCGGGAAGTTTAAACTACAACTTGATTGGCTGGCAATCACAGAAAGATCTCCTCGCTCCGAGAACGTTTCAGTCAAATGGACTTCAGCTCCCAAGGTCTTTAATTGAAATTGTAAACACAAAAAGAAAGAGCTAATGCCACTTTTTCACATATTTCTGCTTGTTTCTAAACTAAGTTGTATGCATGTTAAGTTTACATCTCCTTTTAATGTTGTAGAAATTTACCAGAACCTTTGTTTGAAAACCTCTCATCTTCAATGACATATCTTCAAGGGCACCAAAACTTGGCCGGAAATGATGTGAACGGTCAACCTAAGGTTGATGGCTATATCCAACATCCGGCGTCTGGAATTGTCAATGCAAATTTCCCTCCGGGAATGGCCATCATACAACAGGTAAAATGTGCAATAATTTCTTAGATATATATATACTACCATTTTTTACAAAATTTTACAAAATAACATTAATTAATCATACTAGGTAAAAGTCATTAATAGAAAATTCTCACTAATTCCATAAAATAGAAATGAAATAAGAAAAATCTTGTTAATGCAAAAGAGCAGAAGTATGAACTTTTAAATAGGCATATACTAATATGTAAAATTTAGTGATTTGAGTAAATATTCATATGCAGCCAAGGGCAACAAGCGGCGCAGCGCAGTGTGAAGCGGGAAGTTCAATGAGGACTTTCCGTGGCAATAGTTCAAACCTTGACTCAAATGTATGGTTTCTCCGTTGAAGCCAAAAGAATGTCAAGGACAAGGGAGGGGGGGGGGGGGACAGGACGATCTTTTTCTTGATGCAACCAAAGCTTTAAAAATCTCCCCCATTGCCTTTAGGTTTTAGACGCCTCAATTATTAGATTCCAACCAAAAAAAAAAGTTATTGTCGCCTTAGCAGACTCTTAAGATACTTAAAGCAATTACTAATTAATTATATTTCATCAAAAGATGAGGTTTTGCATTATAATTTTCTGTGATTTGGCCTTGGTTATGATTTTGTGTTCAAACCCGAGAGGGTAAAAATTTTTGTTAGGTTCTAAACGACATGGGTGATATTCAAAGATTTACTTTTCACAGAGGTTTGAGTCAACTTTAAACGACAACAATATTATTACTGTCCTATACAAAGCTAAATATATACTTTAACAAACAACAAATTGCTTTTTAAGCTATGTTAAAGCCAGCGGCTACATGGTGCATGAATGTTGAGAGAGAGGTTGATTTTGTAGCCATTTAAAGTTAGAAAACTTGGGGTTTTTTTTTTTTTTTTTCATTATGAGTCAATTTTATTGCTTTTTAGCTGCACTGTCATTGATGGATAATTAGTCTTGCTTAGCTATATAAAAGCACATGTCTCTTTTAATAAATTAAATTAAGTTAATGAATTGTGATAATATTACTATATATAAGAATTAAATAGTTCAATCAAGAAGAAAATCTTTTCCAAACGATGCCGAGGACAAATTATTGGTAGATTTTTCTTTTGTTTTACAACTTTACAGTCGTGCAAAGCATTTGAAAAAGCTCGAATTCAAACCCTATAAATATATAAACATTGAGAAAGTGTAAAAAGATAAGACTGTAAGCATAAAATTAATACTCCAATTAAGTACAAGATTGGAAATTAATTTGTTCAAACAATGAAACAACAAACAAAATTAAAAGCCACATATAACAGAACCCATATCTCCATATCCATCCACTCATTAAAAATCCCTTTGACATCCTTCCAAACAATTGACTTCATGAACAAGAGAAAGCCAGTCTGTAATCAAAACAAAATCTATCCAAAAAAAAAAAAGGATTGACAGAGGACTGTGTAGCACGTGCGCTAAAATCCATGCAGAAGAGAACTAGAGATTGAGATAAATAGACAAGAAAACCAATGAAACATTTATAGATTTACAACGTTTGACATTCATGACTTTAATATCTTTTCCTCAACTTTATGAAAAGAAAAGAAAAGAAAAAACATATCTAAGAAACGATTACAAGGGACAAACAAACAAGAAATGACAAGAACCAAAAATTACATCATGCGTGCGCACAGATTATATGAACTTAAACTTACTACACAAACACAGACGCAAACCTTTTTAACAGCTAATAATTAAATTAATTTTTTTCAATAGAAGGAGACCACTCTTACTTGTCTATTTTGTTTTTGGCATGGTAGCCAAGCATATTCTTTCCGAAACTTTTGTTCTTTCTCCAACGCTATGCAGTGTGTGCTTTCACCGACGACGTTGCGGGTGTCCAGTGCGGTAAAGCTGGACTGAAATGTTTTGAAACCACCCTTGCGTCGAGAAGTTCCATGATTGGAGTGAAGCTGACACATCTTGAAACTTTGTACTGATTTATGGAGGCATCTCTTGAAATTGCATAGTCCATTAACTCCTCAAATGTGCCGTTTTTCACTACCCTTATCTCCAGCGGACCGATTGAGTTGTCTGCAACTCGGCTTTGTCGGTACACCGAGTTCAGTGATTCCTCCATTTGTAGGCAGCATTGGTTCAAAACTTCGTCTGTTGGGGCATTAGCTGAGTCTTTAACGAGTAATTCCCAGTAAATAACGTAGTGACCTGGTATGACTTTGGTGTCCGCGTAGCTTGTGTATTCAACAACGCTGGTATTGAATTCCTTCAGCAAGACTGAAGCGTTTTCAATGGCCTTTTGCAACTCAGCTTCATCAGTTTTGTCTGACTCGATGCTTAACAACACGTTCTTTCTCCTAATGAAACGAAACTGTGGAGCTGCGTTGTGGAAACCGGTGACTCGAAGGATATCACCGACTCTGTAACGACACAACCCTGCATAAGTGGTGACGATTAGCTCATATTCTTTGCCGACTTCTACATCTGGGAGATCAACAAGGCGAGGCGGTGAGTCACGAGACAGATCCGAAACAGATGATTCATGAGGCAAGAACTCAAAGTAAGCCATGTTTGGCATGATAGTGTATGAGACTTCGGATGGTTTGCACATTGGCTTGAGGTTCAGACCAAAATAACACTCTGACGAAGCATACATGGTGCAAGCCATTGGCAAGCCACCACTGTAATATTCTAGGGTGGGAATATATTGAGCCATGGCTCCTGTTACGATCACATCAAGGTACTTTGTGTTGGGCCAAATTCTAGTGATGATACATTCCCAATTCTCTTCTGAGCATTCCTTGGTAATGAACTCAGCAAGTTCTGGGTTAGGTTTCAACATTTTGTTCATACATTCTCGAATTGAAACATCAGTTACTTTAGGGTTTAAGGTTCCGGTTTCGATGTCATGAGCAAGTTGTTTCCAGTTGATTTGAAGGAAACGAATGGCCCGTAGTAGACCAGAGGCGAACACAGCACCAACCCGAAGAACATCTTCCCTCATGATCAAGCCACATAGCATCTGCGTATACATGCTCTGAAAAGAGTCGACGCAAAGAATGGCTTCGTTGGGGCTGGTGTAAACATTGAAAGGGTCATATGGCCTGGTCTTAAAGTGGTCGCTTTTGTAGTAGCTTGTGAGAACAGGGCGTGCCACAAGCCCTCCAGGAGTTTTTGTTTCCGCTTTCACGAACAAGAAATAAAGACCCTTCCCTTTGTCCAATTCCGGAACGTAACTATCACCACCAAAAAACATAAATATCGAACGTTGTTTTCAACAAAGAATATATAATTTTCCATGTAAAAAGCCAAAGAAACAAAAGAAAGAGTAGAACAAAGTATGCTCACAGGTTCATTACAGGCATGAGAAGGCTATACAAGAGTTGGCGACGGTCCAACTCTTCATGAATCGTTGGCATCAGCTTTCTTTCTCCAGCTGAAGTCCCAGAACTGCAAATTAAGCCCAAAAAAGAAAAAAAATTCATTACCCAATTTATTGTTTTTAAAAAAAGAAAAAACGCATGAATTTTTGCTAAAATTCTGACCTAGTGAGAAACTCTGAAATTGGGTGAGCAGATAATATAGGAGACTTGTCACCGTCGGCGATACGTTGGATATCAGGCTGAAGATCCTCATAAGTGACAACGGGAATTTTAGACTTGAATGTTTCCCGGTCCGTAACTCCACTGAGCTGGAACCGTTTGAGATACTCAGTCTCAGCATTTCGACTTAGGATCTCACCTAAAACCTTCTCTTGAACAGAATCAACATTCATTGTCATCTCTTCAATGAATTGAAGAGCTTTGGCATCTTTCTCACAAACAGGAGCACCAAGTGGAGACGGGAGAGTTGAATCAACGGCCATGTTCGATATTGAAAGTGAAAGAAAAAATGTGAACATGTATATATATATATATATGTATATTAGAAAATTAAGTAATTTTAACAAAGCAAAATCAATTGCTAAGGTGTGAGAGAAGCTGAAGGAGGGATTAGCTGCCTATAAAGGGGAGCGAAACCATGAACATATTTGTGTGTGCCATGTCAGCAACTTGTCCAACCTAGAGAGCCGAAGAATAGTACGTATTTGGAGGGAAGTTGACTGAATTTTGTGTTGCTGAAATATATTTGAGTGTTGCCCATGTGTAGCTAGGAAAGGAGACACGTGAGCCCCATGACACGTAACACTGGTTATAAAAACCTCAACATGCGGGTCCTACTTGTCGTGCCATGTCAGCTTGAGGGCGGTTTTTTCTAGGCCTAAGCGTCAGCCGGACCATACGCGGCCCTTTTCTGGTTCATGTGTTGCTCAATGGTGGCAACAATTGCCGGCTCTTCCAAGGAAAAGAGACTTCCAAAGCTTAAGCTGCGACTTGGTGCTGCTTAACAACTAGGATTTTGATTATTCAGACCCTTAATTAGGATTTAATTATTAATTACTTAATTATTATAGAAATCAAATTGGAATTATTTATATAAAAGATTTTATCAAGGTCGTAGCAGCAATCACGTGAAGTGACAGAGGATTTTCATTTTTCTTCTTAAGTTTTTTCAATAAAAGATTTGGTTAGAATTTGTGTTTTCTACTTGTTCTTGATGTCGAGGTTCATTTGTAACATTTTATACGATGAGGGTAGGTGGGGGTTCTTTTGCATTTGATTTTAGATAATGCATGGCAGTTGCATTACCAATGCCATTGCTTTCTCCACCATCTTTTGGGAATAATTATAATTTTTTTCTTCCTTGCAATTTATTGAATATTAGATCATATGATTGATTAAAAAATTTCAATTGTAAAATCATTTTTTTTTTCATAAAAGAAGTTATAATGTGGGAATAGAGAGAAATATAAAATTTGATATATTTAGTATTGTACTATTGAATACCTAGAATCGAGTAGACATAGATTTAGAGAGGGTAGGCTCCCCAATTTTAGATTAATTAAATAGTTTAATGAGTTTATATTTAATATATTATTAATGTATGAATTTTATATACTATTAATAAATCAGATGATGTTATTCTATTAATGAGCAAATATTAACCATTAAAATAAATGTATAAAAATTAATACTTTTTTAAAAAATTAACTCGTTAATAAGATGGTATTATCTGATCTATTTCATTAATGAAATTGTATTATTCAATTTACTGATAGTATATATAATTTATACATTAACAACATATCAAATATAAATCTATAGTTTCATATGCAAAAGATATATAGATATTAATAATCTATATTATGCTTAAATAAGGCATTTTTTTTTTAATTTAGATGTTTTACTAGCTTGGCTAATAAATTTGTGTCTATAACTTTGTTATCTTTCCCAATCGTTTCTCACCTTCTTTGTGAACTCATTATGTCTATGAAATTAAATCTTGTTAAAGAAATTAGAAGGTAAGTTATTTCATTTTGCATGATACATGTCATGCCTAAAAAATCATTAGCGAACAATCCTAATTTTTTTTTACTAAATTAAATAAGCTTTTAATTTGGGTGCCGACTTCATGTTGTGCCATTTTGAATGC